CGAGAAAATAAATATTATATGAATGTGATTGTATGTTTAGAAAATTTTAAGTTTTTTACTCATTTTGTCTCTTTACTCATCATTGTAACTCAGTGCACCAGTAAGAGAATTCTACCTTTTAATTACAATTATTTCATTGGTTTTAAATATTATTTCGTAGAATATCCTTACTTGACAATTTGTCATGTGTCGACAAGTTTATATTTGAGTTGCAGTTCTTTTTAAATTTTAACGGTCGCAATCGTTAAAATTTAAAAATGTCTGCGATATATGATGAGAACAGTATTCCGCTTGCGTCTTATAGAGCTGAAGGCAGTGGGCCGGAGTAAAATACTGCCTTGATCTGTACAGCACACCGCGATTCTTCGAGGTCAATTTGACGTTACCCATTAAGTGACCCCGAAACTGGACTTCGACTAAAGGGAAACAAGTTATGAAAAGAGTTTAGGCAGCAGATTTGTATCATTTAGTCAAAACCACTCGATGGAATTAAGATTGTATAATTTAATTTATGGGCTGATATCGATAACCCATGCGTTATGGAAGCGGTCGCCCACATACCCAATTACCTATTCGATAAGCGACTTATTTACGACCGGAGCGGCGAACAAAATTAAAATTCATTGTTTCTTATCCTGAAAATACGTACCTATAGATATCCTGAGGTCAGGAGATATCTTCGTCTTATCTGTAACAAGAATAGCCTTTTAAAACGAGAGAGTCTGATAGGAAGTAGAATAATTATGTGACCTCTTGAAATTGGGAATTTTCGATGCGGACAGGATTCTTCGAAGATCTATTTGTTTCAAAGGTAAAGTGATATCGAATTTCGTGAATGAATTTGAACTTCATTTTGATTATAGGGTGTTAGATGACAATTGCCGATAAGGACCGTTTTATGGGTGAGATATTCTCGTAAAGTGACAATAAAAGTTTAATTTCATAGAGTGAAATGTTTGTCGCAACTGATTCTTTGTATCTACTTTTATTGGTGTGGTAATATTTTGTTTGGGTTAGTGTAACAGTGAATTTTTAGTCACTTTCTCAATTTTCTAAATTGTAAAATAGATTTCTTTGTTGTTCATTTGTGTCACAATTTTTAAAGTCCTAAAGTTTTATATATAGAATACAGAGCCAAAATATATGACTATAGAAGAGATCAAGTCCGAATTGAATAACACCACACTCTGCAACACTGAAAACCAGAATGACATAGTTTTTGATGATGGTGATGAAATGAGGTCAAAGTTAGAATTCTAGTTTAGTTACATAGACTGTCAATAACATAATACATCAATAAAAATAAATCTATGTGTAAACGTTGATGTACCGATTTAGGTATTCTGGATTTCATATTTGCAATAAAAATAGGGAATAAGTAAACAAACATTTGTATTTATCCATCATGGCAAACCAGTAATCGTTCGCAGCTTTGCTGGCCTTAATGTAGATTTCGTCATTCAATTTAATAGCCCCCTGGTACAATGCTTTTAGTGGTTAAGCGTAATAAACAAAAAAAAAACAATTTTTTTTTTGGATTTTTAATAATAAATAAATTTTAGAATAGCAATAGCCATGTGACTTATTCTATATCCGAGATACTCGTATGTATAATAGGTAATTCAAATAAAAACCTTTCCACATGTCGATATTTTCCTGAAAACCATTCATTTTGCAAACAGAACGTTGTTTTAAAAGAGGTAAGTGGGCAGACAGTGATGCTGTAAGTATGCGCATGTATTTGTTCTGCATTGTATGTTAAGTGCGTAGACTGTTACTGTCTGTAACCGATGACCCCGTACAATGCATAGATGTACTGTTTTGAGAGAAACATGAATCATTATTGTAATGCTGTTGGCTAAAGATGGGTTTACAAATGTATAATTTCATCATTAAATTAATTTAAAAAACCTTCAAAAAGTTATTTTTAAATTAATGTCTATTTTTTTTTTCAATACCGCCTATGACAAAGTTGATACAATACTGTTTTTAAAAAAGAGTTTTTGTTTATTTATCAATGTAAAGACTAAGCATAACTTGCAATTACGAATTAGCAGCTTAGATACGTTGTCTCTATTCTACAGAAGTTAGGTGCTTCTTTATGCAATATAGGTGCACATATTAATTAATTCATACAAATGTTTGTAATCAACGAGAATAGAACCTGCAAATTATAAAGACCACATAGGTTTCTAGATTTACTATGCACATTACATCACGCAGAGGTTCTAATATATCTTAAAAATTCGAACTTTTTTAGTCACAAAAATACTTACCTATTTAGTAAAATCATTATGTACTTTCTTAGACTATGTCTGTACCCTCTAAAAATTTTGCTTCACACAAACAGTTTTTTTTGTTAATTTCGTTCAAAATTTTAATGATATTTATTTGTATACTAAAAGAAACCTCTCAAAACGTTGCTATGTTTAAACAAAATCAATTTAAAAAGAAAAACATTGTTATTTTTTACCATCCCATCGCGATAAGTAAAAGGCATAAAATGAAAGTATCAGATGTTCATGTTACAAGAACTAATGTATCTATTTGTAACTTGCGTTTCCGGCTTTTTGCTGTCCCGACGTGAAACTGAACAATTACGTTGATTTGTGGTACTTCTCCAATACATTTTTTATGACTGAGCTAACTCTTTTAAGGATATGCCGAGTCATTTTTATGCTGTCTTTTACATATGTTTGTTTTTTTATTAAGTATTGCAAAATGTTCTTCTCAATGTTCAATTATTATTCATTCTGTAGCTATTGATTTCATTAATTTCCAAAGAGACATGTTTAATTTATAAATGTTTTTAAACTCATGGTTACTTTAATTTCTTTTTTCTTTTACAATTTCGGCAGGAAAGCTAGGGCTTGGCAATAAAACATTATTAATTAGAATTCAATATCATGTTTAATTCAGCTATGTACGAGATCTAGAACACATAGTTTGTGTATGGACTGTCTAATTAATTAAAGTATTCTGCAGTATCAAAGAAGTAGGTATCACAATTATGATTTATCCATCAAATAGATGTAACGACGACAATATAAATTTATTTATTAAGGGGTTTTATTGATATGATAATGATCCAAGTTATGCAGAGCCTGCGCTGATAACCAGACTACTGATGAACGCACTTAAATATTTCTTAATACTAACATATTATATAATAGATAAATTACACCAGATATAGAATAAATAATTGTGCTTATCACGCAATTATTTGTCAATGGTGGGAGTCAAAGACATGACCTCTTGCCCAGTATTCAGGATCACTCTTAATAAACTTAATAAACGATACATATATTACGCATATACTGTATATAAAAATATATATGAACTTCAAATGTATTATTATATAGTACACACAATATGCGTATCGACTCGTTCTTCTTGCTGGCGATATATTCGTGGGGCCTACTGAAAGTCTCTGGATCTGACCACGTACAATAAAATAATGAAAAAACAATTATAGAATTCGAAAATGAAACTCTTTGGGAAAATGTTATTTCTTAATTTGCTTGACTGTCATATGTTTTTTCATTGTGAGGTCCTTTCAAAAATTGTGTGTGGCTATCAAAATGAATTTAACTCGTGAAAATTTTCGTTTAATGATTTTTTATGATTTACGTTGTGGCTTAAGTCAACAAGAGAATTACCAGAGACTTCAATAGACATTTGGTGATGAAGTACCATGTCGCAGCTCTGTATATTCGTGGTTTGGAGAATTTAAACGTGGACGTGATCATCTCCATGACGAATGGCCAGCCGGCTACTGAGGTTACAGACTCTAATATTGACACCGAACGACAACTTATTGAAACTGACAAAAATACGACTTGCCAGCAAATTCGTGCTTTGTTAGGCATTGGAATGAGCCAAGTGCAAAACAATATACATGTGCATCTGAAGGTTCAGAAGCTTTGTAAGGTCTGGACGGATCACGTAATACCCGTGTATGTGCCTTTCCTTTAATAATACAGTGGTTGCAGAGAATGCAAAAATGCATTAATTGCGAGGGAATATACTTTGAAAAACAATATAGGTATCATAAGTGTTATAACTAGTCTTATTTATCAGAATCCAGACATTTTCAGTATGTTCTAAGTACTACTACGACACTACCGTCTAAATATCACCGGGACTTAATTTTCTGATAAAGGTTTTCCATTTTGTTAAGGTTTATGAGTAACAAAAATTCAATTAGAGATACTGAGCTAATAATATGCGGCATATATAACAACACTTTAATTATATACTAAAAACTATATTTAATACAGTTAAACTTTAGTAAAAGGTAAAGGTAATAAGAAACAAGTATTAAAAACTATTCATGAAACCAACAGTTCGCACTCCCCAATGACTCCTTTGTAGAATTGAATACAATAGAGGCTCACAAACTGCGTATTTAATATGCAACCCAAACAAACAGAACTTTACATTTCTGTAACAAAAATAACTATTTCAGAGAAAATCATACGTTGTTTCGATGTAACGAGATAACAAATGAATACAAGGATATGTAAATTATCAATTCGTATTTTGTTACTTAATTTTCTAAATCAAGTTTAGTTTATAAATATATATTCACGGTTTTTATTCCTTAGTGGTCCGATATTTTATTAATTATTCATTTTGCAAGACGAACTTTAAGCCTAAAGTCATCCTACAGTAGGTACACAATTTTTATACCTGGAAACTCAATTTCAAATTCGTTTCATTTTCAAAAAGAATACAAAGAACTTTCTATCTAGAACGTAGAACCTACGAAATAAATCTACGTACTAGTATACATTAAAAAACAAGATGTGTATCAAAAATCTACTTTGTACACTTTTTTTACATTTTTGCTAATTCATCTCGTCGATCAACGGCGACGATAAGTGGTTGGCGGTTCGGCCGGAACTCACTTTTTCATCCCACAAACTCTTGAGAACCTCGCAAAATGTCTTCGAAATTACTTTTTCTCTTTTAAGTACATTGCGAGGTTGTTTTTTACAATGGCAGCACTTAAGTTTGGTGACGTTGGGACAAATGTTGGTAGTTCACTTGAAGGCGAGAGAAACATATTTTTATTTCGTTCACGAAAGGTGGAGAAAGGTCCGCCATTAGCAACGCCTGAAACTGACGGTAGCTTAGGTGAATCTACGATTTCGAAACTGTCTAGATTAAACGAGGAAAAGAAATCTAAAGATGCAACTGAAGGCTCACCTAGCGCTAGTAGGAATAAGATATTGTTTATGAAAGATATTGGTCCTGATAACTACATTACTACAACGTTTACATAATTGTAGATATTGTTGATGTTGCATATGAATCTTAATAAAGAAATTAAATAATATGAAATAACAATATAAAATATGAAAAACATAAATGTATTTATATAATTATTTTAAAAACCTGACGATACCAATAACACGTATGTTTATTATACTAAATCTGATCATGAGCATTGAATATCTCAAAATAATATCATTTAATAAAAGTTTAGTGGACCCTTTTTATTTAACTTACATGAATAGTTAATCCAAATATTTCAAAAACAACAGTCAGTTAATAAATCACTTAAACACAAAACACTCGGCTAGAATTAAGTTTTACAAAAGTCATATATATTATACACGCACTGAAGTTTGAAATTCGCGCCAAACGCTCGACGCGCGCCGCACCCTTCCCGTTCGAAGGCTGGGAAGCAACTAAGTCGGTCTCGCCGTTAGTCTAGACAAGGGCAGCAAGGGGCGAGCGTAGGAGGGGGACAGCCAGGGCGAATCAACCCCGGCCAACATTTGCTCAGAAAACGGCCAAGCTCAAACATCAATAAGGAAGTATCTTATTAAGCATTAATAACGTCGACTTTGTACTTCAATTAGATAAAATCATTTGACATGATATCCTAAACAGAGATTTGAAGCCGCAAGGTAAATCTGATGCAAGATAATTAAGGCATTTTCGGTTTTTGAAAACTTTGACTTTGTTAAACTAAGTTTTTACTTATTGTTAATTTGTGGGTTAGAGGCCTAGCGAAACTTTGTTTAACTTTCGAAATTAAGTTTGTATTAATTTCTAGACATTGTTTCCTAATTTGATCGAGTTTTCTATAATCAAACGTAACAAAGTAGGATATTTGTTACTTAAAACATAATGTAAATATTGACTAAATTTGTATATATTTTGCCCATTTCTGCTTTGATAAATGCAGTTTTGACATATTTAAAAAAAAATAAACTTATCGGTCCTTGATAAGCGTGCGAAGTTTCAATTTAATTTGTCTTTTTGAAATGAGTTAAAATCCCGGGATGCCGTTACATACATACACACTTACATACCAAGCCTATAAAAGCGTGTTAAAAACGAAAGTACAAAGTACAGCTTCATTACAAATGGTTTGATAAAAGTCAATTTGTATAGCAGCCCACGATCTCATCAGTCTGAAATAACTAATAGATAGGAATTCTATTAATAAAATGTCTGCATTGCAATGGAAGCTGAGAATAATCCGTATTGATCTAGTTTAAATTTAGTACGGTACAGTAAAGGAAATGCTTAGTAGTTCTATGCGCGCAGACTCATTGGACTCAGTTCGAAAATCGTTTAGATTAGGAACTGTTTTAGTGTTACAGCGTATTAGATTATTGTATTTCGTTTAAAAACATTAAATATTCTGACGTTGAACTAAAAAGGATAAGGAATATGTTTGTAAAAGAAAAGTGTATTGACTTTTTGCACTAATATAAATTTAAAACAATAAAATTGAGTTTCTCGGATTCTTTTTTTTTCAGATTTCAAAAAAAAATTTTTTTAAAGGACTAGCAACCGAAATTACTAGTATTCACGCTAAGCTAAATTGCTTGTGTTAGGAGTGGGTTCAAGTCGGTAGTGTACTGGTCCGGATTTGAACCCACGACCTCTTGATTGCAAGTCCAACGCCTTCACCACTAGGCTAGTTTTGGTAACAAAATAGAATGAATGAAAATAAAACAATGAGGGTCACGATATAGCTTAATATCAGTGTTTATTTGATCAAAGATGTCAGTCTAGCACTGACATCTTTGATCAAATAAACACTGATATATGAACTGTTTCAGTGCGAATCTTAAATCTCTAAAATTTGTTAGTCCAAATGTTTTAGAGAAATGAATAAAATTATAACCTTATTGTATTTATTGCATAAGTTTCAGATTAGTATTAACGGTCACGTTTTGGAGTGAGGTACTATTTCATTGTCGTCTGATCGTACATAGAAAAACAGGCGTCGGTGTATCTGGAATCGTGAGGAGAATTTTTATGGAAATTTCGCGACCGGATGAACTGAAATTTTGGATGGACGTGAAATTGAGAATACTTAAAGTTACCTGCATGAAGAAAGCTAAAATAATAAAATAACGTCAACATACGTTATTTTATTATTTTAGCTTTCTTCATTTAGTTAGTAGTTAGTTAGTTTACAAATTAGTTTTTAAATTAATTTACCTGCATGCAATATTTATGTTGATCTGTTGTGGTACATGAATATATATATATTTGATAACAGTTATATTTACACTGGCCAACGCAATAAAATGAAACTACCTCATATAAGTAATGAACTACAGTCAAAATGTTATTACAATTTGTAGTACCGTAAAACAAAAAAAAACAGTGGTACTCCGGCAGTGCTGATAGCAGTGAAAACTAGATTTTTATTTTTATTATAACAGGAAATTGTTTTGTTTTTTTCGATTAGAAAAGTTTCGACATGAATATATACATATCTATGTTGTACGTATATAGGCAATTTATGTTTATATTATATATAGTTAAATTTTGATGTATTTTAACCCAAACTCAACTTTCGTGTAAACGGGGCCCATATATGTAGATACTTTTGTACAATGTTTTTTTTCTATCTCAAAAAATACATTCCTTTCATTGTTGTTCAAAAATGCCTAATGCGCCTAATAGGTTTTCACTTCAAAAAAAAAACAAAAATTAAAAAAAAAAACCAGTAATATAACTTTAGATTACTCCATGTAAAGTTGTCATCCAATTTCCGTCTATTTTTATACATATACTAGCTTTTGCCCGCGGCTCCGCCCCCGTATATGGCGGTTATCGCGGTAAAAAGAAGCCTAAGTTTCTCGCTGATAGTGTAGCTTTTCATTTGCAAAATAAAATTTGAAATTGGTTTAGTGGTTTAGCCGCTAAAACGTAACAAAAAAACTAACAGTACAGCTTTCCATCGGTGAAAGAATTTTTTAAATCGGTTCAGGGGATTAGTCTTGAAAGCGTAAGAAAAAAACAAACTCACTTTCACATTTATAAAATAAGTTTGATTTACAGAAAAAAATCAATAAACAGATCAGTCATACAACTAAGAGATCTTCAAATTCCTCACTCTTAGTCAATAGTTACTTTTAAAACAAGAGAACTGAAGATTAAGTAGTGATCCCACGTAATCCATTCCGTGTAGGAGATGCGGGCGAAATGACAAATTGATGCACTTATGACACGTCATTTTAATACAACGCAATTTATACTGGCACTGAATAATAGAGCCGTGATGATAAAGCAAAAGTACATGGCAACAGTGTGTGTTTAAAATACTGACACTTGAATAACCTAATATTAAGTATACACGTGACTACTCTTTATACTGTAAAGGGTGAAATTTACTTTGCTAGGAAATTAAGAAGTAGCCAATCCTTTGCTAATTGCAGAGACCACAATACTTTCCAATATTTCTTGGATTATTGTATTGTAATTCGTACTTTGATCACATATTTGTTAAAGGGCACATACTCGTAAACTGTCAAATATTTAAACGTTATGAAAATTACTCAATAGAATTTTTTTTAAATAGACAGAAAGGATACAAGGAGAGAAAATTTAAGGATCGTATCCTAAATCTACACGTTTATTTTAAAGGGTTTTCAATTGTATAGCTTACGCAACATTTTACTTCTTAACTCTATAATGTAACTTCTGTTCGGCGTCTGTTACTCGTGCAAATTTATAGTTTTGTAAAATTGTTATGTCTGGCAGTCTATGCTTTATGAGAAAGTAAAGCAAAATATTGATGATATGAAAAAAAAAACTGAGTTTAAATTTTACCACTAAGAAATAAGACATGCTCAAGATACTATACCAAAAGTTCGTGTCAATACATATCTCCGCCGCCTGTTCTAAGAAAAGACTCAAATGTTTACGTAAAAGTGTTCTGACATGTACAGACGGGTTAATCGCAAAGTTTACGTATTACTAGTACCAGTTAATCCTCTCAACTCACATAATCTTCTAAAGATAAAGCTTGTAGCCGGCCTTACGGCGCCGCGGCGTGTATTTCATTATCTTTTGTGCATACATGAATTTTCTATCAACAAGTCTTGTATTCATTGTTAGTTGCTGATCAACGTGCTTTTAAGTAACCTTAAAAATGTACTCAAATAGGTAAACGATCTTAGAACATTTTTCCCAAAAAATCGTACAACGTTCTACCACGTGTTACCGATGGTTCCTTTTGTATGCAAAAGTCAGCAATCATGCCGATGAAGGTGCCATTATATTGGTCGTCCTACACATCAAGAACTTAATAGTATTTCATTTTACTATCCTTGCCAATGGTTTATATGTTTTTTTATATTTATTTTAGAGCTTTGGAGCTTCGGTGAAATCAAAATATTTTTTTGACCGGAAAGTTTTTTATGCAGATAGGTAGATACTAAAGTGCGGCATCTTTTTTCTCCTCTATTTATCAAGCTATGTTCTTTTTTCTTTTGTTCAGTAGCTATCTATGGGCAAGCTTTAGAGTTATCCATGAAAAAATTCGAAAGTTTTTTTCTACCGTCGCGTCGCCTCGATGGGACTTTAATGTTATAAAACTTTATAGTCTGAAATGCACAATGCCCAAATGTGAACAAAAAATGTTAGAAATATTTTGTATGTATTTTTCTCTACTTTCATTAATCATAGTTGAATTTCGGCAAACATTTTGTAAAAATTATTAATCTTAAAGTAGTCTGACCTTTTTTTAAAAGAAATTTTAGGAATAAAAAGTAAAGGAGCTAGTCCTAGAATAAAAAATAGGTGGTATTTTAATTTTTCAATTAGTTTTAGGTGTATCAAACTAATAATACTTTATCCTGGAGATTATTTTTAGGTAACGGGTTAGCATATAAAAACGATATGTGTATATTTGAAAAAATATGATATTAGACTAAATCATAATATATAATTGTGTTAATTAAATGAATACCTTAATCGAGTACTATTTCGAGATTGAACTATTCTGCAATGAAAATGTCAATGTAAA